TTGAGTCACAGCCGGACAGGGCAGACCAGATGAAGCTACTGTGATGAGGAACAAGCAGAGAGAGCGTAATATTTTGAGTGGAACTTGACAAATACTGCAGAATAGGAGAATACGTAGAATGAAGTAGAATGAGGAAAAGTGGCCCCTATTTGATCCAGCAGCCTAAACATATAGCAGCACAAGAACAAACAATAGCTCAGGATAGTTAACTGTTTTGAAAGAGGTATAAGAAAAGTAGAGCCAATGAGAAATGTCTGTCCATACTTAAATTGTAGGGAATATAAGATAGGAGAAATACAGTATGATCTGTTTTTATTTTTTATAAGAACTCTGGCTGCACCATTTTGAATCCGTTGAAGGCTTTAATTGTAACTACAGTCTTTGGACTTTCTGATAGTAAAGAATTGCAATAGCCCAGCCTTAAAGTAAGAAATGTATGGACTAGTTTCTCAGCAGATATTTCTAATTTTTGCGATATTTATAGATAAAAGAAGGATATTTCTAGAAACCTCTTTGATGGGGGATTTAAATGACAGGTAGTGAACCAAAATAACACCAATAAAGAAACATTCAAAGAAAATTAACAAATTAAAGTCAGACATTGCTTTTTAACCATATTTAACAAAACAAAAAAAAGATTTAAAAAAAGACTAGCAGTTCTTGCCTTTTTTTAGCTCTGTGTTTGGGGTCATTATCCTTTTGAAGACCCATGACCAAGGACTGACTCAATGCCTTCTGACACTGGATATTTCACTCTAAATTCCTTTCATTGTCTTGAGATTTTATTGTACCCTGCAGAGATAAAAGAAACCCTGCTCCAGATGAATAAAAGGAGCCCCAGATCATAAGAGAACCTCCTTCATATTTCACACTGGGGACAGTGTTCTTCCCTTGACATACGTCATTTTTTCCATCTGTGAACAGATAACTGGTGCACCTTGGCATAAAGTTCAATTTTCGTCTCATCTCTCCACAGGATATTCTATCAGAGGCATTGTGTTTTGTCAACATGCAGTTTGACGGTTCTCTGTCTGGCTGTTTTGTGACTTGTCTACAACAATTCTGTCCTTTGTCGTCTCCCATTAAGTCCAGTTTGGCTCATACAAAAATGGACGGTGCAATGATCCTTGAGCTTGAAGTTAACCTTTAATCTGTTTAGAGGTCTTTATGGGCTCTTTTGTTACCATTTATATTATTCATCTCCTTTATTTGTCATTAATTCCACACATTTGGCCACATCCAGGGATGTTGGTTAATTCCAATGGATCTGAATAATCAGTCCAACGGGTCACAGGAACATCAAGCTGCATGGACATGGTCTAATAGCCTTTACCTTTAACATACTTGCCTGTGATTTTCTGTCTAATCTCCTGAGACAGCTCTTTCTTTGGCTTCCTCTGGTCCATGTTGAGTTGGGTACACACCACGTCACAGAACAGCACAACTAACTTTAGTCCTATTGTAGACACCTGTGATGCCACTTGATTGGACACAGCTTGTCTCTTTAGAAACAGTATTTTTAGACTCTTCTAGGGTTCCCTTTATTTTTGTCCAGTACTGTTTCACAAGTTTATTTTTTTAATCATTCTGCTGAAGCATGGTTGAAAATCAAAGTCTGACTTTTATTTGTTTAATTTCTTTGAATTCTAGCATACTTTTTATTATGACTTTTGTCCAATGGACGTTATTTCTTTCACCATTGCAGGGTTATTTTGTCCAATTGCGTAATACAAATATAGTTGTTTTACTGTATACATCTGTAGGAAGTTGGTAAAGCAATATTTTGTAAAACTTAACTGATAAAAATAAATAGAATTCATTTTCTAACCATATATTATTTCCCTTGCTTCATTATAATGCTCTATTTTGTGTTGGTCACATGACTTGACCCTTCACTTTTTTTGGAAGTGTGGTTTAAATAGCTTTTATATATATTTTTTTGTATTTCCTTTATTATTCTGTGACAGTGACATCATATGTTTCTGGTTTGTTGTTTCATGTGTTTTTTTATGGATGGTTGCCTACATGTTTATAATAGATCGTCTGAATTTCAATCACATCTCATATTGTAACATAAAAATATGCTTGGTTTTTTTTTGTTTTTTTTTAGGCTTGCTTGGATATATTTCCCCTTTTTACTCTTTCACTTTAATTACAGCTGTAAGCATGATGATATAAACTTTGGAAATAATTTTAAATGAGTGATTTATGCCATCAAGTCGAGGCATATCTCTAAATTGATTATTTGCATTTCACTTATATCTTGAATTGAATCAACAATGGCTATTTGTAAAAAGAGAGAAATATAATGATAATCCAAAATAAATAAGCATCAATGCAGAACTTTACCATGCATAAGTTTTAAATATGAAAAATAATTTAATCCTTGGCACGAATCTGCTTTTCCTTCTTTGTTTTGTCTCCATCTAGTGGAAAAACTATGGTAGTACATTAAAAACCAGTACAGTCTGCATACTGTAAGATAGGCTAGAGAGATTAATTGTGCTTAGTTAGGTAGGAGAATTATAGCCTACATTATTTTTTTCCCCTAATCACTCCAGGAATGAGGATTGTTTTTATTAACTATTTATAAGGTAAATTTATGTGTTTATGCTTTATTAAACCGCCCGAGGAAACATTCTTTAACTTTTTAACAAAAATTGACAGTATTTGGCTCTTTCTTTTCAGTATTATAGGCAATATCCTTTTTGCTATAATTTATAAACCCCCAAACACCATATTAAACACATTTCCTTTCACCTTGAGAGTTTATGGGTTCACTCCTGAGAGGAGCAACAACATGCCAGAAGAGAGTTCACTCTTCGGGCCGAAATCCAAAAGGAAAGAAAAATGTTCTCCAGAAATAACTGCAACATAAAACGATATGAATAAAGATTTATTTCCCATATGAACAGGTGGATTTATTTTTCATTTTATTTTACAATCTATGACAGTCTCGCATTTTTTACCTGCTTATTTTTTCTAACATATTTTAGGAATGACATGAGAGGGAAGTAAGAATTGTTTTTATTGCTGAATGTTAAATGAAATACACTTTCACTGACTTGAAAATAATTGACTGCTGCTTAATTTTTTTCTTCCTTATTTTTTTTAAGTATCCATGCACCCATCTAACCTTGACCACAAGGACATGCAGAGGAGAGGTGTTCAAACATTTCAAGCGAGGGGTGGGGTCAGATTTGTGGGGGGATTAATCAAATAAAAAAAAGAGGAGACTGGCAGGACATGCCTGGTACCATATCAGTTGGAAAGGGAGGGGAGAGGGGGGTTAACACATTTAATCTAGAGGTGTGGAATCATCTCTCACCCCATTCAGACATACAAAATAAGACCCAGAAGTGGAAAACCAGTGGAAAACCTGATGAAATATCTGGAAGCTGTGAAAAAGACGTGGTCAAATTGTTCTCTACAACAAAACCTCTGTGCATTTATCATAATTTGCAGATCAATCCTGTTGGAACATTTTGCACTCAGTTGTTCTTTTAAAACTGATTAAAAGGAGCAGACTAAGTATGTTTTAAGATTATTAACTGTTGTTTTCTATCACATCCCTTTAAAGTAAAGATGCACCAATTTGAAATTTGTAGTTTTTTTTTATTAACTCTTGTCGAATAATTAAAGAGGAAACAATTTTAAAGTCTACTGAAAATGGTAAAAAACTAAATGAGCCATAGAAAACAGATTGTATTTATTTATATACTTTTCTTAAAACTGGGTTAATATTGTGTTAGGGTGACATTTTAGTTTTGATACAGCCTGTCCGGCGGGACATGGTGTCCGGGGCCTTGCTGCCATCAAAGGCGTTGCTCTTTATAGATCTACTTGGAAGATTAAAATGAACAACATTCCAGACATTATGTTTAGATGCAATTGGGTGCAAATACTCCTACACTGGGTCAGAGGTGAGCTAATGAATGACGTTTTGCTCTCTGACAAGAGCAAGATCAATATGAGCCTACATGTCTGAGTCTCCATAGGAAGTAACACTGGGAAATCAGAAAGATTTATCTTTAGGTTCATTAACAGAGGACTGTGTATGTGAGCTAAATGTAATAAAATCCCTATTTTGGCAACGCAAAATACCTCAAAGTACCCTGTGCAAACTGAAGTCCTGTAGCTGGCTGCACCTTTATGTAAAAAAAAAAGGAAGTAGGGAGCTGTTTAATATTATATTTTCACATCTATTGGCTCCTTGCTTTTCATATCTTCTAACTGATGATTAACATTTTTTAACTCTACCACCTTTCAGAAAACATTTCAAGATAGGATTTTAAGAGTTATTTATCACATCTTTGTCCTGGGCGAATGCACCAGGTAGTGAGGGTTGTAATCAGCCATGTGTAGATATACCAATGCTATGTGTGCCAACGTAACTGGACAATTGTTCATTATGCCATAAAAATACACATCGTCTGGGTTACCCTGAACAGGGCTGAGACAGATGACTGCATTTTAGCCAGAGGTAAATCCTGAAAATAAAATAAAACTGAAAAGATGTCATGCATTATGGACATGATTACCATTTTCATGAAAGAAATCCATGAAATTTAAGCTTTATTTTGACTCCACTTTAATCCACCTAAGACATCCTTTGGTTCTTAGAAATGGGTCGGATTTCTTTTAAAGCTCAGGTTTGTGCGTTATTGCTTACTTAATTTTATGAGTCAGTTTGCTTCTTGAACAGCGATGCAAACCAAAACTTGTTGCTGTTAATCAGCCTGATATCGCTGATGAATGGATCATTGAACGATGGAAAAAAGAAATGATTACTGAAGTTCTGACTACCTAGCGACCAGACAAAGTTAGAGTGTCTCAGTTTCTTGGCGCATCTCTACTTTAAATGAGGATGATGTTGCTCAATAAATAGTCATCTTACGGACTTAATTAGGGAGATAATAAGTCTAATAGATTTAGTAGTACATAGTACTAATGTAGAAGATGGTATTTGGAAGAATTTTTGTAAAGGTGAAGTGGTCAAAACAAACCTGTGTCCCACACACAGACATCCTATGGGCAAGTGAAGGACTTCACAAAAGGGTAGATCTCTGCATAATGGCTTTAAAAAGAAAAACTCAGATAGGTACCCATTTGTCTCATTCTACACTACAGGCATTACAGAGTTTTTTTTGCACACACAGCAAACTACAGTCACCTCTTAGAAAATGATGTAATCAAACAGCAAAATATAAAGTTTGCATATTTTTGCATCGTATGATCCTCCGTAGTTTTCACAGCTATTTCTCTACATTGTCTTTACGCTCCTCCAAAAGAGCTCCACCTGGCTTTCCTTTTCTTTGCGGGGGAGTGTTCAGGGAACCGGTAGACTGTGTGGTTACCTCCAGGTCCTCACCTTCCAAGAACCGTCGTCTATAAGGTAGACCTTATTCAAGAAAGTGGGATGACGAGAGGTGGAAGTGGGTGCAGGGTGAAGGGGGGATATGTGGAAATCCTGAGACACTGTGTGACCTTTAACATGAGCCACGAAAAACAGAATGGAAACAGAATGATAATGAGATGTGAGAGGAGAAGTGGCTTTGAGTGGAAACAGATGATATCTTTTGTTTTGGTCTCCAATATAGGTATCCCCCATCTGTGCCCAACAGCTAAGTGCTTGATAGCCTTGTACAAGGCTAACGTGAAGAAAAAAGCCACAAGGAAATTATAATAGGACAGAATAGGGGTGAGCCTGGGGCCACATAGTTGTAAACACATCATTAGGCAATGACCTGCGTGGCAGAACCCAGCCTTACCTGTCCACCTACACAAGAGGAGAGAGAGTGCTGTGGGGTAGCTCCCCTGTTTCCAGAGAAGTTTTGCACACACACGCACATCCACACATAACAATCTGTACCCATACTCAACTCAAACACAACTCTCTTCTTTCCTCATCTCTCAAGAGGACGCATCAGTCAGAGGGTAGAAATATTCTACGTTATATTTATGAGGAGTTCTGTTACATCCCAAACACCACCCCTACTGGACGAATTATATTAATGTAAACAGACACTTTATGTTGAAGTGGTTTATATTGCGTGACATGGAAAGGGATTTATGCTGCAGTGGGGACAGACTTCTTAAAGAATGCCTTTTTTTTTGGAAAGAAAGTGAGACAAGAGGAAAAAAAATCTGACAGAACAAAAAACATAAATGTGTATAAAAAATGAGGCGTCCATATAAGAAAGGCTACAAAAACCTCCACTGGCCCCTCTGGGTTCGGCAAACAGCAAAAGGCACCACAATATTACTCTATTTTTTTTTTTTTTTTTACGTTGTGAAAAAACTGGCACATCTTTTTTATGCTGTAAATCAAAATGTACATATAAATAGAGTTTTCCCTATAAAAAATCTTTGCTGTTAACTAGTAGACAACTTTTGCTAAAATGAAAATAAATATTCATTTGTTTAGAATATCTGTCAGTTATATAAAATAAAATATTTCTTATAGATGCAGGTCTGTACGATATTGGTTCTTGTTGGTTCATCACACGCTTTAATGGGGCGTACTGTCCGGTTTGGAGCGTGGCTGTGTGAGTCTTGTATGCATGTTGCCACGCCCACTGTGCCACCCTGATGAGTGAGAAGTCCGACTGTCCACCGGCCTGTAGATGGTGGAGGGCTCGGCGTTCATGTTCTGCATACTGAGGAAGGGAGTGTTCTCACCATCCTCCTCTGACTCGCTTTCTGTTAGGCAGCTTCGAGAGCCGTAGTCTCGAGATGCCTCGTATCCACGCGGGGCCACGTGGCCGTTCAGTCTGGATCTCCTCCAGCGCCGGCTACCAGTTTCACCGGACCCACTTGTCTTTGGTTGCTCCCGAGAGGAGAGGTACTCCTGGGTGGTCTCATAGTCTTCTTCCTCAGCCAGCCGGTAGGGGCTGGAGGGCAGGCTGCCCCTGCTGTCCTTTAGGTAGGTGCGGCGCTGCTGCCGGTAGGGCTCCTGGCACTGGGCATCATGTAGGGGCACCTGGTAGCGGCGCAGCAGAGGCTGGTCATCCTCCAAAGGATAGGGGTTGTGGACAGCAGGAGGGAGGGACATGGCATGGCTGGCATTGGGAGATGTTATCTGAAAGGTAGGCACCTGGGGGGGCAATGAGTAATGGAAATCCACCGGGGACAGGCGGGCTGGTGTTGTCAGGGCTGACACGTACCTGAAATACAGAGGAATTCAGAGGTCATTAAAGAACGACAGGAAACGGCAGACGGGGAGCACAGAGCATTTCAATAACTTAACACCCACATCACACCTTAAACATCAAGTTAAACAGAAACTCTAATACTGAGTGGGCGCAGGTACTTTTAGATACCAAGAGTTTCTGTGTGGGTTGAGCAAAACATCAACAAGTTTCAGCTCTTTAAACAGAATCTAGTGACATTTGTTTCACAGCACGTTCAAGACTAAACAAGTTGTAGTTAGGTAATTTGCTTTCATTCACTGCTCAAGATGACTTGACTTATCTTGATGATGAAATAACCCCCCTCCATTGGAACTAATAGGTTCTAAATATTAATACCAGTAACACATTCAACAAGAGATTTTTTTTTTTATTTCTGCTAATTTGTTTACAGATGGTTTCAATACAAACCGATGAGACCGATTTTTGATGAATAATAGTTAAAAGTATTTTAGAGATATGTTTAATGTGATCTTTTAGAGCCTATTTTTGGATTTTTTTTTTAGTTTAGCCTTGGTAAATCCTATAGCATTCTTTTGAACTATTATAAATTACTATAACAATTGCAATACATAAATAAAATATTGTGCTTTTTGTAATCTATAATTATGGCCTAAATGCAGGAAAATCCGAAAAACATTTTAAATATCATGTTTCCATTTTCTTTCTCTTTTTCTTTTCTTTTTACTTTTATATTGTTGTAAATAACTCTGTGATGCTTAATAAAATGTTGCTGGTCTGTAGGACAGGAAAATCACTAACCTACATGTATTTTTTTGACTCTTCTCTAAGAATTATACCTTTTTTACCCATTCAAGTAGATATAGGTCAGTATCAGATTCTAACAGAATGATAACCCTGAGTAAGAATAAAAGCTTTAATTTTAAGGCAGTATTTATATAAAGATTTCAACAACATATATAATGTCACATTTAATGTTATTTTAGACTAAAAATTTATAATTAATTATTAATGAAACTAAAATACTTACAATAATGTTAGGATATGATTAATTATATATTGCAATATATATATTGATTTCAAAATGTAGAAATCCACTTGCTCTAGCAGCTCTACGGGGGTTGCAGTTAAGAAATGTACAATAAATTAATTTTACGAAGTAGAATTATAAGAATATATAAATAAATCTAATTAAAGTGAGAAATTAAAAAACAATAATATAATAACAACTATTTAGTTGATCATAGATATTTCCAGCTTGAGCTGAAGTCATTGTACTAAGGTTGGGAGTGGCAGCCTGGTGGGGAGTGGTGGTTTTGTGGTTAGGGCTTTATAGTTGGAATCCAGAGGTTCTGAGTTAAAGTCCCACTCCAACAGTCTGCCATTTTGGCTCTAAAATCTAATACACGATATAGGTCTCATGATAAAAAAACACATTTGGGTAAAAAGATGATTGTGAACGCTTCTTAAGAGCTCCAAATTTGAATTTACAAGAAAAATGACATTCTTGCACTGTAATTCAACCTGTTTTCTTATTTGCCTTGTTATCGGTACAGCTAACAAATTCCTAAAGCTTATCCTCTTAAGTCATAAAACTAAATAGATAAAAAACATATTTCTTAAAGAAAAAGGCATGTGGAACACAAGGAAATCTACCATTTAAAAACATGTATTGTGGCTTGGCAGCCATGCAGAAAGTTCATGTTTAAGCAACAGGCAGGTTTTTGGAGATACGGCTGCCGTGCCCAGAGCTGCATGAGAAGATTGGCATCAGGGTAGAACATATAAAGAAATATTTAAGGGATAAATATAGACTACAGCTGAGCTGATAAAGGGCTCATTTTCTAACTTGCCAAACAGAGCATCACCTATCTTTGTTATTTTCTGTTGTGACTATCAAATGGTTTGTTAAATAAATATGGGTCTCAAGAACTGTATTCTAGTTGGGGAATAATGTT